GCAAAAATTCTTTTCGTATTTAAGGTATATCAGAAAATATTGGAGATTTCAGTCAGGATAAAGACTTTAGTTTAGTTCCATAAATGGTTTCGTTTATCTTCAAAGAAAATTGCACAACATTTTCTGCGACACTTAATACACCCAAATTTTTGAAACGTTTTCGTAGTGTTGTTTTTGTTTCAGAGTCGTTCGATCGCAAAAAGGGGAAAATTGGCGAGGGGAAATTCTCAACGCAGCGACAAAAAGGGCCGAGGAAATTGATGCAAGAGGACCAGAAAAAGTTTTTTGTTGAAGCGCCGCGAAATACGAAGATTTATAACCCCGAGAGAAAAAGAGCGCGGTAGGGAATGCATTTCGCGGCGTCCTCAGGAACACGCGTGAATTTTCATTCGTGTGACAAATTGATGGCGCACTATGCAGGCGATTCGTTCCCATCCGGACAAAAAATTATTTCTAGAGCACCTCCGGAGCATCCAAGCTTCGGTCCATTGTTCACGATTTCGGCGAACACGTTCATTCGTTTTACTATGGCAAAGCGCGTCTCGCTTACGGTGCTTCGAATTCCACTGAATCTTAATTAAGCCCTGACAAAAGATTCACCAAATACGCTCGTGTCAGAAGAACTCACATGCCTTTTAAGATATGCTTGCGTCGAGGATTCTTTTTCCTTGGCAACTTTGTTTATTAATGACAGTGAAAACCTTTGGATTTCTATCCAACATTTATACTACCTGCATCAGATTTGGTCCGCGATCAGGAAAATTGCAGGAAATTTCCCCTGCGCCCCTAAAATTTTATCACCAAGGTAAAACTTTACAGCGTCGCTGAAGGGTAGCAATACAGACCATTCACGCCGCAGAGTTCCTCCCAAGACAGGGATAACAGGTCTGAATTGCCCGAAGCATTTGGGTGAACGATCCGACGAAACTAACGGAGAACGAAACCGCAACGTAGGAACGAATTTGCCTGAAATTTTTATTCCCGTACGGTCGTTCGTCGGACAACGACGCACAGGAAGGAAGCTAAGCTCCGGTCTGGCAAGCAGAAACCCCTCCACCGTTAACCTTTCGTTGGATATCTTTCTCCCAGGCGTCGTATAACGCGTCAAAGTAAACGAGATTCATCGGGAGCACGCCCCCATCGAACGAGACGTGAGTATATTTACCGAGGCAGGGCGCAATTCGAAAACGTCGATTCTCGGCTCGCGTCCGTTGCGCCGAGGAGGCACTAAAGTTGCCAGGAAAGAGAAACGACGCAGATTCTATCGCTTGCACTTCCCTACGAATCTCTGATCTTTACTCGGGAACCGATCTCCGGGCTGAATGCGGTAACAATTTTCCACGAGGCGGGAAATGCGCGAGAATCGTCGTACGATCTAGCCCTCTGCATGACGAAGGGTGTTCGGAGTTTCTTTTATGCAGTCGGTGATTTACATCCGCGATTCTTGGATCCCGTTCAAGACAAGAAATCACGATACACGTGCACCGAAGGGAATTCATTGGAATCCTAATGGATGGAGGCGTTTTGGCATGAGGTTTTGGACCGTGATTAGTGAATTAACGGGGCGTTTATGCTGGGGAATTTGTCTTTAAAGGGAGAAGAATTATTTATATGGATATACAGTCAGTCGAATATTCATAACCTTCTATGTCTGTTAAAGAAATCTGACTAAATTAAATGATAGGTTTGATATTTTCAAATAAATGTTTCATTATAAAAATATACATGAATAAACTTTACACGTGTATATACTTCTAATGATAAATTTATTCGGAAACATGAAGCCTATAATTTAATTTAGGCAAATTTTTTTAATAGATAAGACTGGCTGTATGTGGAAGGGTTTTCGAGGTTTTAGGTATAGTCGATTTGTATTTGCAGAAAATGTTAATAAATTCATGAAACAGTACAGAAGTTTCGATCCTGAAACTGTAATTAATCCTCACCGGCGGCGCGACACAGTAGAAACGGCTCGTTTATAGTCAGACAGAGTAGAACTGTCCTGTGTGTGGTCGGACACTCCACGCGGTTTTATCGACTTTCTACAAGCAAGAGGGCTATTCTTCACCGTACAGCGGACCGAGACCACTCGAATGTCTCCTTCTGGACACATTGCAGTTTCTCGAAGAGTTTACAAAGGAAATCTACACAAACAGCACTTGCAAGTTTTCCCCTCGGATTGTATTTCGTTAGATCAATGCACGTCGAAATTCGCAAAAACGGCGATATCGTTTCTAGTCTAGCGGTCGTAAATATCTGATAACATCCATTTTTGTCCCAGAAAAAAAAACATCACTTTCCAGAGGAACAGCAAACATATCGCAAACTCCCAATTACACATACATTAGACCAGCGCGGAGCAAATCGTTTGAATACAAATATCAACGTTTGCGTCGACGAAACATGGCGGACCGCATAATCTGATCGCGATTCCAGCTTTTGCTTGGCGGGGAGCAGTCGCGCTTGGCTGCGGAATGCAAATGCCGCGCGGAATGCCGCGCGAATGGCATCCGATATTAATGGAAGTCGAAAAATTTCAATAATTTCCGTGGGATTCGGGCCGAGGAGGATCATGAAAATTCATTAAAAGGGAAAACCGTGAGGAGATGAGACAACACGTTGCCCCGGCCAGCGTCGAACATCGCTTTGACCCCGTTGCGCCGCACCGACGCGGACCCGATAATCAGAAAGCTGCTCAGCCAACCGGAAAATCGGAAAATGAAATAACGAGCGGCGATCAAACCTTTAGAGCCGAGACACCGGCACCGGTATATCACCGGCTGAAACGATATTATATCCCGTGACGTAGAACCAAAGACTGCTCGTAAAGTTTTGGCAGGATGGAATGAGACCGATCGCCCGGAGACCCTGATGAATTACAAACGACGAAAATGGACCCCGGTCTCGGTGTCGACGCGAAACGACCCGTTATCCGTTTGGTCAGCCCTATCCGGCACTGTTAGCCTGTGACCTGGACGACCATTGTCTGACATTTTTACTCGCGCGGGGAATAATGCTGTGCTTCATCGATTTTTACGAGGATTTACGAAAAGTATGCAAATCTCGTATCGTTGCTGCTGCTTGTTGAGTTTAAGGGAGTAATTGCCCTATGTACAGATGTTGATTAATCTATTGGAGACATTAGAATAGAAATGGGAGTTTACTCTCCGAGTAACACATATTGTTGATTGATTGTTCGATAGACAGTGCTGCAGACTATAGATTTTTGTTACACACAAATGAAGGTTGTACTAGGTCTACTATTCAAATCTACTATTCAAATATAAATTAAGAAAAACGGGACTTTCTTCTATTGCGAAATTTGCATGCAGAGCAATCTTTAAATACCTCTCCAATTCAAGAGCCCTGGTATAAGAGTGGTCTCTCCCTTAAAGTCTAAAGCTAACACTAACGAAAAACAGCGTAGTTTCGGCATTGCACCAACGAACATTTGTTTAAAGAACAGTCGAAGAGAGTAGGGGATGTTTTTAAATAAAGTGACGCGAGCTCGGAGTCCGTCGCAAAGCGGGCATTTTCGGAAATCGATAATTGCAGCACTTCGTTTGATGAAGCTGAAAAAGTTTTGGTGCTGAGACGAACGCCGCCTGAGTAACGAGATGTCTTGGCTCCGTTATAAGAATCTCGCTCGATTAATCCTCCTGAGAAATTACGATATTGCGAATTACCAGCCGTGCTATCGATTGTCCGAACCATTACCTTCGGCGTTGAATATTCCGTGCTGCGTAGAAACTATTACCATCCATATTGCTCACGGGTTGACCACGCGTCTCTGTGTAACTTTAGTCGCGTTAGACGATCGATGACAGGTATGGACGCGCTGGCTCGGACAGGTGACAACTCGGTAAACCGTGACACCCTGAACGGATTAATTGTTGTTGGCCAAGAATTCCAACTTCTGTTACCAACAGTGAACTTCGAACGTGACGACAATTCGATATAAAGAGAATGAAATTGTATTGGAAGGAAGGAGAAAGGTATTGAACATACAGAGTGATAGATTTTTTATTGCTGTTGGCATCACTCAGTCTTTTTTATTAAACGTATGAATGAAAATATCAGACTCGAGAGACTGGGTTATAAAGGTTCACCTTCTCCCATCGGTAGTAATGCTCGAGATGCTGTCAGCCACAGTAGAATATCATGTATCAGGTCAGACAAGTATAATAGAAGCATATTCACATGGCTCAGTGAAAATAGATTATATCTGGTCGGACAAGTAGATTGACACTCTGCCTGTCAGATGAACATGAGATTGATGGTACCTATAAACCACAGTAGAATGCACCGTGTATGGCCAGATAGCCAGGGACAATTCGCAGGTTTGCAGCATTATTTCCTTCTAGCAGTCTTTCAATTAAATATCGCTCATCGATACAATCGCAAAAAGAGTCAAGAGTGATATATATCGTTGCTCAAAGCTGTCAATGTCTAATGCACATAGATTTATTTGTGCACTTCAATTTTATTTCAAATACCGTAATGCGTGTAATATATAAGATAAGCTGGTGTCTTCTTTGGTCTGCCTGTCCACCGAAATAAACATTTTTGTTTACAATAATGCATCTTCGCTTAAAGTTGTCTAGGATTTCTCGGATATGTATGAAAATTTTCTATGGCACATAAAGGATTAAAAACTATCCAACCCAAATCATGCAAACTACTATTTTCCGTAAGGTCCTCACACACCAACTTAAGGATTATAATATTCAAAATACGACCCCAGATTGTCGTCATCTAATCCCCCGACATTTCCGTCTGGTTGTCCCCTAGACTTTCGGCAAATTGTTGGTACGTTTCACAGACGCACTTCGTTAATTTGCTCAGACGGCGGCAGTAATTTCGGGCAATTATAATTATGAGATTACAATTAGTTGCCCTCCCCAGCCACCCCTCGGTAGTCGAGACGTCCGAGAGAGAGAGAGAGAGAGAGAGAGAGAGAGAGAGAGAGAGAGAGAG